TAGATTTTCTTAATTCCTGCAAGGGCAGTGATATTCTCGAACCACTGACCAGGTTATCATTGTTGCCCACTCTATCATCGGGAGGAGAGAAGAAATGACAAGAGCATTTTCTTTTTCTTTTTCTTTTTTTTTAATTTTTCAACTACTTCTCCTTACCTTGGGGCTTTTCTTTCACTTGCTAATTTCAGAAGCCATTTTAAAGCTGAGCTGTGTCCTGGCATAGCATGCCAAGTGTTTTTCATTTTTTACGTGTAAAAAAAATTTATTTCTCTTTTCTTAGTAGTATTTTTTCTAGTTTTTGTTTCTGGTTTTTTGTTTTGTTTTGTTTTGTTTTGTCCTTACTTTCCCACTCTAAGCTTCACTCTCGACACACTGAATGTCTAGATAGGCCTAGGTGCACGGTAGCCAAACATCTATATTTTTAGAGACATTGATATCCTCGATGCTTATTGAACTTCCTGCTTTAAGGAAGAAATTTCTTTTTATAAATCTGAACTGCTAATCTCTTTCTGTGGATACCCCATTGTGAAGCATAGTGGAGGAGAGATTTTTGTCAAAGAATGACCAGAAACCACCGCAGAAGCACAAGAAACATGAGAAACCAAGAAAATATCTCTCCTTTAAGGGAAAAAGAACAATCTCTCATCACCCACAGACAGTACAGTAGAACTTGTGGAAATGTCTGATAGAGAATTCAGAATATTCATAGTGACAAAACTAAAATGAAGTACAAGAGCTGAGAGATACTGAACTCCAGAAGGTGCAGATAAAAAGAGAAAATGTGTTCCAGGAGGTGAGGAAGTTCTTCCATGATCTGAAAGAGGAAATATATACCATAAAAAAGAATCAAATGGAGCTATTAGAGATGAAGGCTGCCATTCAGGAAATCAAAACGTCCCTTGAAAGTATTAAAAGCAGATTAGTCCATGCAGAAAATCAAATCTTGGATGTTGAAGACAAAATCTCTGATCTAGAAAAAACAACCAAAAATCTGAGAAAATAACCAAAAAAAAAAAAAATGAGAATACTATACGAGAAATACTAGACAGCATTAAGTGCCCAAACATCCAAATTATTGGTATCCCAGAAGGTGAGGAAACTAGTAAGGGCTTTGATAATCTATTCCATGAAATCCTGCAAAACTTTCCAAACCTAGAGAAGCATTCAAATATTCAGACCCAAGAAGTACAAAGGACCCCTAATAGAATCAACCCAAGAAGATCTCCGAGGCACAGCATAGCCAGACTGACTAAATCTACAAAGACAAGATACTAAAATCGGCAAGAGAGAAACTTCAGGTTACTTATAAAGGTTATCCAATCAGGCTAATCTCAGACCTCTCATCAGAAACAATGCAAGCAAGGAAAGAATGGGAAAATGTATTCAAAGTGTTAAGTGTAAAACAATTTCAACCAAGAATACTATACCCAGCAAGATTATCTTTCATATGGAAAGAAAGGATAAAAACATTCTCAGATAAACAAGACCTGAAAGAACTTGCCAATAGCAGGTCCACTCTTCAAGAAGTTCTGGAAGGAGTGCTCTACCAGGAAAACTAAAGATACATACAGAAATCAGAGAACAAAAGGCAATCAAGAAAATGACAAACTTAGTGCTAGGGACAAGAAATATCAATAATAACGTTGAATGTTAATTTTCAGGATTTAAACGCAGAGATTGTACCACAGTAACACTGTATATTCAACTGAAGAGAGTTCGAACATAAGATTGAAGTGACGAAATAGAATTTTATGACTGTTGAGTAAAACATTAATAATTTTTTATTATGCTTTATTATCCCAATTTAAGCATTTCACTTTCTTTTGAGTTGCTGATAGGTTCAACAATTTGTTAAAATATATTTCTTGTTTGTTTCTTTAAATAGAAACGTAAACTTTTCTGTCCCCTCTGGAATTGTAAAATATCTGGGAGCATTCTTATTTTGTGGCAGAAGGGTTATTTGCATAAGTTTAATAATGCTTGTTGCATTGAATCAGAAATTGGAAATACTGGGAACCAGCAGTTAGCGTAATGGCTATGTCGCTGGACTCCCACGTAGTTGACCACGGTTCGCGTCCCGGACCCAGTGGCTTAAAACTCACGCCGGCTACGTGTGCGTGCGTGCGTGCTCAAGATCCCGAGAGGAGAATGGAGGAGAAGGGATTGTGGTGTGACCATCCTCCCTGGGGGGTGATTTCTCACTTTCTGTCTCTATGTCTCTGTCTGTCTGTCTGGCGAGTGCACGCGCCCTATAGCAAAAACCTCTCCAAAAAAAAAAAAAAAAGAAAGAAAGAAATTGGAAATACTCATTATTGGACAGGGCTTTGATTGGAATGTCATACCTGAAGATTAATCAGAAAACTATGGAACTAAGGTAGATCTCAAGTAAGCCAACAGAAGCCTGACACCAAAGATGGCCTGGCACCATAAATAGTTCTGCCTGGCAGAGAGGCTTAGAGGAGATATATGAAAGAATTTATAATATAAAATAACCTGGACTTTTCCAGCCCAGCATTGTAATCTGTAGAGATTGTGAAAGAGCAACCACCCCAGAGGATTATCTTGAGAAAAACTTTGAAGGAAGAAAAAGAGACTGATCTTAGCTAGCAGATGGTCTATCACAGAATACTTGGTAGACAGGGCTCAATTGAGAAAGTTTATGTGTGACTTGTGTGCTGGGCATTTGCTTTTCAACAATTTGAGTAGGTGACATGCAAGTATCTTCTCAAAAATATTTAAAACCATACTGTCTCTGTTGTTATAGTGTTACAAACAAAATTATACAAAATTATAAGAAATATTTTGAATATTATCTTTAAAATTCAGTATTTTGAAATTTTGAAAGTTGTTTAATAACTGTCAAGAAATATGCAATATGAGCAAAAATTTTTTGATATGTAAAGTAAATGTTTGTGGGAAAATGCAAAAATAAATAAATAAATGAAAAAAGAAAAAAAAAAAAAGAAGTGAAATGGATTTAGCTGCCAAATACAATAGTTTGACATTTTATTGGGTCCTTGGATTTGAATAAATCAATCCAACAATGAAATATATTTTGGGGAGGAAAACAAAAAAGAAGACTGCATGTTCCACAGATGTCTCTATGGACAGCCGTTCAACTCTTTTCTTTTTTTCTTTCTGTCTTTTTTTTAACTCCTCTTCAATGAAAACAACCCACTTAAACTGGAATAGTATAGTTAAAGCCCCTCATAAAAGGAAGTGCTAACGGGTACACTCAGGAAGGAGGCTTCAGGGAGGCTGAAGGAGGCTCCCCACCTCCACTCCTCTCCTCTCACCACTGAGGCCTTTCAGCAGTTTCTTGACTTCTGAAGGCTAAGTTGCTATAGCAACCCAGGCCCACTGAACCATGTTAAAAACCTGTTATCCGAAGAGGGACAATTAGCTGTCTGGAGAGTCCATTTATAGGGAGTAAGAGAGAGGCAATCGTTCCTCACAGACCAACACAGGCCTCCTTTCAGAGCTTCTTAGGTGAGTAAGGCTGGTCCAAGCCCCTCCTAAGGGATAAGGACACTGAGGATTGGAACAAATAGGCTCACCCCAGCCCATACGCACACTTAGAGCAGAAGGATCCTTTTTGGCTCTTACTCTTATACCTTCTCTTCGCTCTGTCTTTGCTCCATCTCCTTCCTTCCCCTTCCCCAATGTTCTGTGTGCCTACTGCCTCCAAGATGACCCCTGGATGCAAACAGCTTTCTCCTTCACTCACTTTTCAGTGGTTTCTTCTAATAGAGCCTTTGAGGAAAAGTCAATCAAATCCCTCCCTCTCCTGCAGAAACCCTAGTGACCTACTGCCAAGCACCTTTCCCCATCACTGTCCCCTTTGCGTTTCCACTCCAGCTCACTTCGGGGTTCCCTCCTGTTTCTGAAAGACATCAGGTTTTGTCCTCTCCAAAAACAGCATGCCCCCCCCAACACTGCCCTGTCCATCAATCCTATTCACAGCATGTATCACCATCTGCAATCACAGTCTTACTCGTGGCCAGTTATCCTTGATCCAGCACAGCACCTGGCAAGGAGTGGGCTCGGAACAGTGTTTGCCGAACGAGTGTACAGAAGGATGAATGGATGCAGAAAGAGATTTCTCCTGCATCCTGAGTCGTGCAACATCCCAGAGTGCCAGCATTCTCCATTTCATTCTAGAGCTCTAGGATGTACAACCTCCCTCTACACCTGTAGAAATGACCACGGAGGGCACCACCCATAGAGAGCAGAGACAGAATGGAAGAATGGAGTGTGTCAAGGAAGAATGTGAACACGCCTCTGAGAATAAACCAGGAATGCGGCCAATACAGACAAAAGATCACACGGGAAGACGAGTGGGCTGGTTCGCTGTGTCCCCAGGGTGGGCGTACAGGGAGATACGCTTTTTGCTCATCATAATAACTACTATCAATTATTTAGTTCTTATTGCTTGCACTTCACATATATTATTTCTCTTCAGCCTTCAAACTATTCTGCAGGGTTAAGTTATTGTCTCCCAACACAAAAAATGAGAACTGCATGCTCTTCTCTTGGCCTGGAACAGTTTCACAAGGCAAATTCCTGCTCATTCTCCAGGCCATTTCCTCAGCAAAGTCCTCCCTCACTCCCAAGATCACATCGAGTTCCTGTTTTATGTTCCCACCAGACCCTTCCCTCAGCCCTCATAGTACTTGCTGTGGTTGGGAACACATCACTGCTGGGTAAGGAACAGAGGCAGGAACTGGTTACTGCTGCATCTCCCAGCACCGTGTCTGGCCTATGGGACAGCTGGTGAACAGAGGAACTGGGACAGCAGCCCAGGTCTGCCTGACTCCCAGGCCAGTGCTCCTTCCAGCATTCTAACAGTCAGAGCTATCTGAAAGTGGACCAGGAGAGCACAGATTGATGCCGCAGGGCTATCTGGGCAGGGTGTGGTATTGTGGCCTCAATATCAGGTTGGCATGTGAGGGTCTCTTCCACTGTGGAGGCACCCCAATTCCTTTGTGCTTGGAACTTACCAGAGCTTGCTCTATGAGGAGGCAGAACAGGATGGCATTGCCCACTTCCCTCAGGCTCTGGAACACATCTGTTTTGAGCTCAGCATACTCAATGATGTCCTTCAGCTGGTGGTGGAAGAACTCCAGGATCCCTGGAGATGAATGAGATGGTCAGTGGGAAGTAGGCAGTGCTCAGCAGGTTCACTAGAGGCGTCCACTGAGTAGCAGCTCTGGACTCGACTCTGGGAGAGTAGAAAGCCCAACCATACATCCCTCTATTGGTAGGCCCAGGGCTCAAATGGTTTTTTAGAACAAAACAAACACATTTCCCAGCACTTCCCAACTGTTGCCTAAATTCTTGATAACAACAAATATTTCTGTATGGGTGTTAGATATTGTGCTAAGCACTTTATCTGTAATATCTCATTTAATACTCATAATGACAGCAGAAACTAGGCACTACTAACCTGTTTTCAGGGAAGGTAAATGGCAAGCTCACAGTTGCACAGCTAATAAGTGAGACAGCTGGGATTGAATGCCAGAGTTTTTGGACCCATCCCTTCCCTATTCTGAGTCACGCTGACCCAATGTCATGATATTATTGACCCAGCCATGATGCCAGGTCTTGATGTCTAAAAACCTGATATCATAATTTTTGGAGAAAAAAAAAACAAACACAAACATCAGGCACTAAAGTCCAAGTCTCCATCTTTCCCCCATTCCCCCTATATTTAGTCCATTCACTCTTAGAGAAGGAAAGAAATATTTTTCTGGCCCAGAAGTTGGGTGGCAAAAATGCCTGTTTCTTGACTCTCCTTAGACATGGCACTGCCACCTGGCCATCATCTTCCTCCAAATGGGCACAGGGAGGAAGTTCTAGAAGTGCTGAGATACTAAAGACCTTTACAAGGAAACTGTGCTGTTCACTATTTTAACACACACATTTGCAGCCCCTTTTCAGCTTCTCAGTACCCAACATCCATTTCCACTGATGGAAGATGAAGCTAAAAGGATTATAGGTGATCCAGCAGGCGGAGTGGTAATCAAGTTGCTGGACTCCCACATGGCTGACCAGGGTTCGAGTCCCAGACCTGGCAGCTTGCTTTCTCACTTTCCCTCTCTGTCTCTTGCTGGTGAGCATACATGCCCTATACCAAATTAAATAATAAATAAATACATAAATAATTCTTAAAAGAAAAAAAAAGATTTCAAGCTATCTCACTGGTGGCAGAGAAGGGATACAAAGCCAGCTCTGGCACAGTAGAGAAGCCAGTACTGCAGGGTGAATGACTGCATCCCCCACCCCACCATGGATGAGGCACCAACCTGGGGAGCCATATTCATGCCGTGGTAAGCGACATATCTTGGGCATCACCTCTATCAGCGTCTTCACGTACTGGAGGATGGTTCCCTGGAGCTAACAAAAGCAGAGTACATGTGAGTGGCTAGTACCTCGATGGCCTGAGAGCTGGACTACTGGGCCATGGATGCTCTGTTGTGCCCTGTGGCTAGGCCATTGCTCCCTGAGAGGAGAGAGCAGGTTGTTTCCTAAAGGTGGGGGATAGCCCCAATCTCCTTTTTCAGAGAAAATGGGCCTTCAAAAGACAGAAAAGGGAGCTCTCCCATTATTCCCTGGGGCTTATAGACTTCACAAAGGGCACATTTCAAGAAAGCATGGGTTCCTTCTTGGGGCTGGGTATACTTAACATAAGATCCAGACCAAGGACTAAAATGAAATGGGCCCAGATGAGATACACTATCTAATTTAAGTACAAGGAATCCATGGTACATTTATCTCTCCTATGTTCAAGGCAGACATCATCAATCAATGACCGTATTTCCCTGTTTTACTCTAGCTTCACAATCTTGAACACCCACAGATCCACATAGCTGCTGCCAAAGAACTGGAGTTAGCAGGCGAATCCTGTTTGCTATTCCTGAACTGATTATATATCATTTCTCTTTTGTCACCTCCAATTTTCAGGGAAGTCTTATATAGATGTTTTGATCTTGCATTAGCAGTGTTTTTGGAAACTAAATAAAGACTCACGTGGCCATACTTGGTGCAGACACAGAATGGTGGTGAAGAGATACAATGGTAAGGGATACAGAATTCCTTGAAGACAGTGCGGTATTGGTAGAGGTGTTTAGCAAGGAATCCCAAGGGGAAAACATGCTGATTGATTATGGATGTCTGCCACGGGCATGGGAGTATAAAATGGCAGCACATGCCATGCCCCTTGTTCCAGCTAGATAAAACAGTACAGGTGGGGAGTATGTGTCGTCATTAGCAGCCCTTGAAGGTCAAAATCAGGATGGCTGAGTTCAGTCAAAAAATACAAGGAGGGAGTTCAGAGTCAGAAAAAGCAGAAAAAGGGAGGCAAAGCCACCAGTCCAAAAGCTCAGAGAGAGAAAGAGAACGGGACAGGTAGAACAAGCAAGAAATAAAGGCAAAGGATTCTGGGTGATCTCTACAGGCAGAGCTTGACCACTGGGGATTTGTGTATAAAGACCAAGTAAAAGTGGAAGCAAATCTCATTTATATCATTCTCCCTCACCCTCTATCCCTGTCTTACCTGCACAACCCAGAGTGCATCGAAGCCTTTCTTACCAAGCTCTTGACAATCTTCAGCAGTTCTTCCATGACCACCGCAATGCCCTGGTAACCCAGGAGTCTGCAGATTGTCTTAAAGTGAGGGGGCCCCACGAAGTTCCTGTAGGAGCTGTAGATGTGGCTGTAGGCAATGTTGAGAGGCTGGAAAACAAAGGTTGTGGCACAGTAGGTGGCTGAGTTCTCAATGAACGCAGGCCTGCTTGTCCTGGTAGATGTTTTGCTGATAGAAGGGATGGGAACCTGACATCACCAGTGAGCCCTCAGTGAGGACTCTGTGAAGATATCTGCACGATGTTGGCCATGGTGAGAAGTGTGGTCAGTAACCACAGGATAGACCAAGGGTCACTAGACAGAGCAGCTGCTCCCTAGCAGAAGAGGAGAAAGCCCTCCCGGGCAAATATCTCTTTTGCGGGAAGGGACTCCTACTACCCATTACTATCCACACACAAACTAGATTTTTCAAAATTGACCCACAGGGCAGGGATAGAACAGCTGATTTTCTTTCTCTAAAGGGATTTCTGGTACTAGAAATCGGTAGGAAGAACTATGTGAAAACTCAGTAGCTGATTGAAGCTCACCTTCTTTCTCCTACTAGGGGTTTTTTGCATCTATGACACTGTGGGGTCCTGAGAAACAATAGGCCTGTCTGACAATATATGCCAAAATACAGGGCCCTAAATTGGTCTCACTTAGTGAGACTGTAAAAGTTATCACTGACTCTAATGCTCTATTTTTGAAATGCTGCTGTGTTTCATGTCAGGCTTTGTGAAGCCTTCCATGTGCATTTCCAGGTAATCTACATAACATATGTGTGGGATATGTACCATCCTTAGCCCCATTTCCCAGATGAGGGAACTCAGGCTCGTGGTAAATTGCTTGCTTAAGGTCACAGTTTGTTGATAACTGAGCCCTGAATTGAATAAGGTATGGCTGATTCCAAAGCCCATATTCTAACTATAAAGTACACTTTGAAAGTAAAGTTCTTATATAAACCATCTTCATTTTTCAAGATAAGGTTTCATAGCAAAACGTAGTTCTGAGTGTAGTTTTCCCACCTGAAATTGCAACAGTCTTGTACAAGAACATGCAAATGTGTGAAGGACACATCTAATATTCTATGAGCTGAATTTCTCCATTAGTTGACGAAGTAGAAGTTATACACAAACTAAGCAGGAACTATAATGGTGCTTCTGAAGGACTGCAAGGTTCTCAACTCACTTTGGAGTCATCAAGGGAAGATGGATTATCCTAAACTTTGTAAAACAAGCATCACAATTATAGTATCCTCTTATACAAGGATACACAAAGAGCACAATTAGAGTTCCACTAATAACAAGGATTCGTGAAGAATTAGAACACCCACTCATTCCCCAGGTTGAATAATAGTTCATTTGGTAAACTTGTGCCTACAGACTGGGGAGTCTGGAATGTGAGAAAGACCTTGTTCTGTACTCAATACTGAGCAGCTGTCTGGGTAAACCCTGCCTGAACCTAGAGGGAAGATAAATTTCTGTGGTTTCTAAATGCTAAATGTATGCCTAGGAACGATGCATGTAGGAAGGGAAACATAACTGTCTTAAAAGCATGAGATTTACCAGAGTCAATGTTCAGCAAATCCTGGCATTATTGAGTCTGATTTAGCCAAACTTAGGGCAGGCCATGTAATTTTCTACGTGTGGAGCAAATCTACTTTCGTGTCTCTATAACAGGGCTGGAACTAGCGAGAGGGAAGGAAGACGTGTAGTACACAAAATGCTAGCTGGTGCTTATTCTGCTGAGGGCAACTTCATTTTGGACCTATTACCCAAGCCCTATTCTGTATTCTCCTGTTTCCTTCTTCAGAGGTGAGGAGTAATAACAAACACCAATCACAGCATGAGTTATGTCTGGTAGGGGAAGGGGACTGTCTGGAAAGGGGTATGAGAGAACTTTCTAGGGTGATGGAAAAATGCTATCATCTTGACTGAGTAGCTGACTACATGGGTGTACAGACTTATCAAGACCCACAGAATTATATGCACATTTATAACCCATGCTTTATATATCAGGTGTTTGCGTCCTTCCTAAATTTATATGTTGACATCCTAACCCCCAGTGGGGTGGTATTAGGGAGTGGGGCCTTTGGAGGGTGATTAGGTTATGAGGATGGAACCCTCTTGAATGGTATTAAGTGTCATTATAAGACACAGGAGAACTTGCTCCCTCTCTCTGCTCTCTGCAATGGAGAATATAATGAGAAGATGGCCACCAGTCCTCCAGGAAGTGGGCCCCCACCAGGCACTGGATCTGCCGGCCCCTTGATCTTGGACTTCCAAACCTCTAGAACTGTGAGAAATTAAGTGTCTGTTGTTTAAGTCACCTAGTCTTAAACTGCTATTCTTAGTATAGTACTCTGAACTGACAAAGGCAATGTATTTTAATGTATATGATTATAGTTCAATAAAGTAAATAAAAAATCCCACTGGAATATGCATAGCTAATTTACTTCTCAATATTATTTTCAAAGATTAGAAAGCAGAACTATGCCTTGAATTTTCCCCTGAAGAGGGCTGTAGTTCAAACCTGTAGATAATATGGGTCAATGTGCTTCTGTCGTGAGGAGCATCTGACAAAGCTAATGGACTATCCTTGCAACTGCTCATTCCTTGCTCACCAAGGGCTAGGGCCCACCCCCCCTCTGGAAAGAACCAGAAAAGCTCTCAGCACACTCCTCTTGGTCCCTTTTACAAATACCCCATGAAAGAAATTTTGGGGAAGGGTAAGATTTAAATAGCTATCCCTGGAGGGGGAAAAAGTAGTCAGCTATTTATTCATCTATCTATCTATCTATCTATCTATCTATCTATCTATCTATCTATTATCTATCTCTGTATCTATCTATCTATCTATCTATCTATCTATCTATCTATCTATCTATCTATCTATTTTCCTCTCTGATTCTCTGACTTCTTTTCTTGCTTTGAATCTAGACGGTGGGCTCTGAAGTGAACATACCCGAGTTCAAATTCCAAGTCTGTAAATGTACTAGCTAGATGCTCTTAGACAAATTCCTAAACTCTCAAAGCCCTGGTGTATCCTTAGATATAAATGGCAAGTCCAAAAGAGTTGCTGGGAGATTTAAATGATATGACATATATGAAGCAGTTAGCATGATGCTTGGCACAATGGAAACACTCCCTGAAATAACAGCCATTTACATTACTTTGATAATTTGGTAAGCAAAACTAAGAAAATACAGCTTTCTGGTCCAAGTTCCTCCAGTAGCTTTGGCTACAGCTATTAATCTCTGAATGTGGAGAAAGGGGTGCACATGGAGGATATAATTGTATTCAACACGGTCTGAGTCTCCTAAGGAGATATGCAAAGCTCAGAGCTAGGACCAACTGATGAAATGTACAAAAATCCTGCAGATTTTCCTCAATATTAAGAACATTATAGGAGTCAGCAGGTGGTGTGGTGGTTAAAGCACTAGACTCCCACATAGCCAACCAGGGTTTGAGTCCCTGACCTGGTGGCTTGAAAATCACAGTGGGTACGTGTTTTGTGTGCACCCAAAATCCCAGGAAGAGAAAGGAAGAAAAGGGATTATGGTGTGGGCATCCCCCCCTAGGGGGGTGATTTCTCATTTTCTCTCTTACTGTCTCTCTCCAGTAAGAGCATGCCACTGTCTCTTTTCAGTGAGAGCATGCACCCTATGATGAAAATATTAAAAAACAAAAAACAGCAACAACAAAAAACCAAACCAGTATAAAAATGGGAGCTAATAACAGTCTGTGGTGGCTGGAGTCTCCCACCACTGCAAGTCTGTGAGTGCCTAGAGGTTCAGAAAAACCATGTAGGATTGTTAAAAAGTGAATCCTGCCTAGAACTAAAGGTTGAAATAGAAATGCTCTAGGGCTCCCTTCAGAGGAGCAAGTGCCGGTTATTCTTCTTGAATGTTTGGCCTTCTCAGCAATCTCTTAAACTCTACACCCACCATCAAGCTTCTGGTACCAAGTTTCCCCAATACTTCCTGGCAAGCACAGATAACTATATATTCCAACACATGAATATTTTCAGCAGATCTTCCCAGTTCTAGACAAAGGAGAATAATTTTAGAACTGTTTTACACAAGGGTTTAACAATCTCCCCTCAGACCCATTCAGTGCACTTAGGAGGCCTTTGGTTAATATTCCTGCATCAGTACTGGACTGTGGTGTGGACAGGAAGTTTAAGCCTCACTTGAAGGTCCAAGCTGCATTCCATGCAGGAAGGACCAACATGAAATAAACAGAATTCAAACCCTTCTTCTAAGAGAACCAGCCCTCCCATCCCCCCCCATTCCTCCCCAAATCCACCACATGCAGGCAAGAGGAAACACACACACATGCCAGAAAGTAAAAGTACATGCACACACACCCCCGGAGGGCACCCTTCTGACCTGCTGGCTCAATAGGAGGCTGGGCCCTATTGAGAAAATGTGGGAATAGGGGAGCCTGGGCATTTTCTGAGGTTTGGCAAAGAAAAACAGGAATGCAATATGACTTGAGACTTGAAACATTGGAATCTTACACAAATCTCTTAGACTGAACCAATTCTGCTAACTCACAACCAATATATAATGGAAAACTAATTATTATCCTAACTCTTTAGGATGACTCACTTAAAATCGGCTTATTTAAATCCATACTACACAAAATAGAGAAACTTTATGAAATCCCAAGAAATAAGTATTTTAGTTCAGAAATAAGAGCCATCTTATTACTGTATGACACAAATCTGCATTTTCTCAAAAAGCAAAACGGGCCCAACAGGTGGTGTGGTGGTTAAGGTGCTGGACTCCCACACAGTCAACCATGGTTTAAGTCCTGAATCTGGCAGCTTGCTTTCTCACTTTCCTTCCCTTTCTCTGTCCCTCTGGTGAGTGCATGTGCTCTACAGCAAATACAAAAAAAAAATGATAACAAATAAAATTAAATAAATATTTATTTAAGGAAATAAAAAAGCAAAACAGTATTATAAGGAGAGAAAAAAAATATAATGAATTTGATCTGGCAGATCCTGGGCACTACAAAATTATCTACAAATGGACTTTTAAAAAAATTGTAGTAACATATACATAACATAATATTTATTTTAACGCTTTTGGGTACTGAGTATGG